GCTCCATGTTGTTTATGCTAGACAACACAACGGTGCTTGTGTAATCTATAGTTGAAGTCGCAGTTTAATATTCTTTGTTGTATGCTTGTGTTATATGTGGTTTAAGGGACGTCCTTGTTAGTTTGCATGGTCTATGTAAGAAGGGGCAGTGCAATGCTTGTCAAGTTTGTTTATATTCTGATGGATGTTGAATTCTGGACAATGGAGGTGTGAATTTGTTATGTACATAGGTACTAGCCATAGGATACTTTACTCATTGACGACAGGTAGTTTTAGATAACTTCTGAAAATTCCAATCCAGGTTTTCTATGTTCCATTCAGGAAGAACGCACAGTCTGCACTGGGGTATAAAATTATCTACTACTTACCTTTGTGTCTCGACATATGCTTGTGATTCATCGTGCTACCAGAGGCCATCATTATCCAGTATCATAGCGATGATAAAAATGACTATTGGATACTCCGCATATTCTCATCTGATTTCTCATATATAGATATTAATTTCCTTTCATGGGAGGCCTTCATTACATTTCAGCGGCAGTTGCGGATGTGGACGGCGGTTGAGGGAGGGTCTCCGACTAGAGCAGCAGGAGCAAGGAGCTCGAGGAAGTTCAGGTTTGCCTCTACATCCTCTCTCTTTCCTCCACTTTGTTCTTGCATTTAGATGATACAATTTGTGATCATGTGTATGTGCATTTATGAGATCTTTGCTTCTAGGCACAGAGTTTATGGTTACTGAAATTGGATAATAGAGAGTCACAGCTTCAGTTTTCAATTACAGTAGTTGATGTGTTATGTTTGCTGCAATGTGTCATGTGTGTTTGAGAGAGAGGGATGAAAAAGAGGGGACTGGAAGCGTGATCATTGCTAGGATCTAGATTCAGAGAGAGGGATGAAAAAGAAGGGACATGGATTCAGAGAAGGATAAAAAGAGGGGACTTAAAGATCTTGCATTGTGTTTCTTCATCTACCAATACGATTTTGTGTACCATTTTAACATAACCAAGCAGTATAACAAAATGCGCTGGTAATATCCCTTTCTTATTTTGTAATTGGACAAATATTTGCACATGTGCCATGTCTATGCAGTCTTTCTAACTGATGCAGTTTCTAGGTTTATGGCTTCTCACGGGATGTGATTCTGGTCATGCTGCCTGTTATGAAGGTAAAAACAAAGTTATATGTTTCTTCGGTTTATTTTGGTCTACATTTATCCCAAAGATTTGTTCTCGTGTAGAATATTCTGTTCAGTTTGGTCTGCATTTGTCAGTTATTAATTTGTCAAGATTCTGGTCTGATGTACTCCCTCTGTTCCTAAATATTTGTCTTTCTAAGCATTTCAAACAGACTACGACATACGGATGTAAGTAGACATATTTTAGAGTGTAGATTCACTCATTTTGCTTCGTATGTAGTCACTTGTTGAAATCTCTAGAAAGAAAAATATTTGGGAACAAAGAGAGTAGAATATTCAGTTTAGTTGGTCCACATTTGTTCCAGAGAGCGAGAGTTACTGATAAAATTCTTATCTGGCTTAAATAAATTTTATGGATTTACAGGCCGAGGCGAGCATCATGAAGACGAGCAGGCGAGTGGCTGATATAGAGAGCTCCTCCAACGGGGAAGTAGCATTGCTGGAGGAACTCGAAGATGAGCTGGTCAATTTTGGCATGTCCAGTTCATGTAATGTTTGCATCTTTACATATCTTTGCCTGACTGCCATTTTATTTTTGCTGCTTTTGGATTAGGTTTCGAAGTCATGCCTTTGCCTTATTATTATGCTGATACTGGATGCAACATTGTGGACCTTTGGTTCGAGCATGGCCAGCATGGCCACGGATTGTAGGGGAGGAATGTATTGCCTATGAGTTGTATGCTTTCTTCGGATCCTCTGTGCTTCCTATCACATCTGGCTTGGCCACCTACAGATTCTTGGGTCTAGGAGAGCTCTCCCTCCACTCTCCAAGTTTTGCTTGCTCTTTCTAGGCTATTTTTTTGGGCTAGCCCCTTTCCTAAGTCTCTTACTTTATTATGCATCATGGAAGCGGGAAGTGTAACTCACATTTTTAGAACACCGATCCTTTAGGTATATATAGTTTGGTTTTCAGAAAGTGGATTGCATTTCCTTCCTGAACACACTGAAACAAGAGTGGAAATAACCATCGTCCACCGTCCATTCTTCCTCCCTCAGGTTCCTGATCTGAAGCGGAGGGAACACGAGGTCACATCCGCAAAGTGGCGGAAGGGGGCTGCAACGTTTTTCTTCAGTCTGATAATCATATAGAAATTAGACGGTGTAGTACTATGGCGGTGGTATACTGATTTGGTGTAAGAATCACTAACATGACTTTACGTGTACAAATCTTACAGGTTAATGATATTAAGAATTAGTAGCGTGTTTTTTTGTTTACCGCTGGATTTGCTAACAAGCTGTCTCTTGTGTTGTTGTTGCTATGTTGACTTGCTATTTTTTGTTCAGTTGAAGGGTTCTCCAGGCTTAAGATCTTTCTAGGATAATTGCGTCATTGAATCTGAAGGTATTTGATTGGTTTCTCAACTCATGTATCGATAAGCATTTTTTTTCATCCTCAATGTATTGTTACTTACCTGACTTGTCGTACATTTGTGAGGTTTCTGAGGAAGTTCACTTCTTGCACGCGGCGTATAACTTGAGTTGCCTACAAATGATTTTGCCAGTTCGACGAAAACTTAAAATAACCAAGTGAAATTTCTCAGTTTTGTTGTTCTTGCTCTTCTCAGATCTTAGGTTGGGGGTATTAATATATATGCCACACACTAAGTTTAGATCTTACTGTGAGATTAAATAGGGATAAATCCTTGTGCCATGTTGGAGAATTAGAATTACAAAAAAGGAAGGAAATATTAAAGAAGGGATATGGTTGATTAGGTTATTTTGGTGTTTCTTTGTAAATAATGACATGCTAACTCGCTGGTTTAATTTAGGTGTGTGGAATATAGGAAATACAAGGAGAGATATTCAGTTGCAATCCAGCTTTATTTTCAAAGTGAAACATGGTATACATGCATAGCATGCTGGTATTTTACTCTAAAGTTGTGCGACGCCTTGGTGTCAACTTTGAACTTGCAAACTAAACCGTAAAATGTTTTAATGCCTTGGCGCATGAAGTTTTCTTTTCCTGCTCTGACTACTTCATTTATGTTTATTTATCAGGTTATGTGATCTCCTATGTTGCTGCATGTTGATCTTCTATTTTGTTGTAACTCTGTTTTGCTGCCTGAGGTTTGCTTCCTTTCTTTCCAGCTACATGTGTATTCTTTGAATTCAAGCTACATGCATGTTTACCTTTTGCTCAAGGAATAGTTTAGTTATATTGAACAGGAGCATCTCTGTTATTAAAGACATACTAGGCTCGTGCTTCTTCACAGTGGCCATCTCTTTTTTTGTGAGAAGTGTGCCTTATGGCTTATTCTTATATATTCAGTTCTTCTGCCTCTCAACAATCAATCACCAAGCCATTTTATGGAGCCGATAGTGTTACTTCTGGTGGTCAGTGATAACTGAAAATATCTTTCATTATCATTGCTTGCTATGTAGCCATTTTTTCTTTTCACTTTGCTTCGATGTGTTTGTTTCTACGGAGTCTTTTCTACACTACAACATCAAGATGAAAACTAAGCATGTGAGTTTCTTGGAGCAGCCCTACACGTGGTTGTTGTGCCTTTTTCCCTTGTTGTTTTGAAATGCAACATGACAGTAGCCAATGTCATATATTAGGGTTGTAAACCTATTAGATTTGATACAGAGGAAAGTATGAAGATCTTCTTATTATTGCAAAGTAAAAGTTGATATTAGTGCCAACTTAGGTGATCTGGTCCGAAGGGGTATCTCAGCTTTATGAGTTGATAGTATATTTGCATCTAAGAATAAACCTTAGATTTTAGATAGAATTTATGAGTGAAAGTATTCTGGTGTATACCATCCTTTGTGCAGGATTGTCATAGTTATTGTGGTTGTCAATTTTGTTGACAAAATAGATCCAAATGATATCTTTTTCAGTGTCTTATGGTAGATATATTTGGTCTGTTGTTTCATGCATTCTTCGGCTTTATAATTAATATTCCCAGATATTTGAACAAAATTTTGCTATTAAATATACATTCCAGGAAATTTACATTATTACAGTGGGGCACTCCTTCGCACGGTTTTCAGTATAAGAGATTTAACCTTTTTGCAGTATCATTCTCCCTGGCGGATTACATGTAGGTTGTTGTTCTAATTACAAGCATACCTTGAGCTCATGGTTCTTATATTTTTGTATTTTCTATAGGACAATTTCATGGATTAATATCTATACTGGAGATCTAGGAGTCCACCCGAATTCAGTCTCCAAGAGGCCGTTCATCCAGGATCCACCAAAATTCAAATGATATGTGAAAAGTGTGTGCTAGATGTGTCCCCTATCCAGTGTTTTGATCTGTCCACTCAAGTGCTTTTGTCTAGGTGGTAACACAACAAGCTGCTTATCTTATAGAAACTTATTATATGTACAGTCCTATGTTCGTTCTGCTTGCATGTTAGAGAAAGAGCTTCTGCCCCTATGTGAGTAATCCTATGGGAATTAGCAACGTTGGCTGTACTTTCAAGCGGGCTGAATCCAATGCAAGTTTTTGGAGCAGTTGTGTTCCAGAAGAAATGACTAGGTATTCCCAAAGAGGACATTCCACTGGTGGCTAGCATAATATCTTCATGTTGGGACAAGTAAGATGACAAATCATTTCTCAAATAATATGCCGATGTTCTCAATTTTTATTTTCTCTTATTTTCTGCTACTTGCCTCACTAACTATGACCTCAACGATCTTTGGTGCGGCGATCCAAGCAAGCAACCATCATTCTACCAACTCTTGTCATCGCTGAAGAAATTATAGTGGTTACATTGTTACAGAAAGCCTATGACAATTTGCGTGTGTTTTTTGTGCAATATACTGGTTTTATGGCAGGTGCATGTATGAATTCAGATGGTAGTGGTCTCCTTGTTTACAGTTGTAAGAATAATAAAAATATTGATCATGGTCTTTCCACTATTACAATCTCATAGATTACATTACCTGCTTCCATTAGAAAGGAACTGTGGCTCATGGGTTTACTGGATGATCTTTTTGATGGACATTTTAAAAATAGCATGGTTGAACACATGGGCTTTCTATTACGAGTATCAAATATGTCCTTGCAAAATGAAACTATTTTCATCGACAACATGGCTTTAGCGGGTCTCTGCGCCATTTGGCGCAATGGCTCAACTAGTATAAAGGAGTGGAGGAGGGGGACGGCCGGCCCTCTCTCTAACGCCCTCGATGCGGCTATATCTCCCACGTGTCGAAGCATGACTTAGAGGCATAACCGCATTGAAAGCAATGTCGCAAGTGAGGTAATCTTCACAACAACCCATGTAAATAAATAAAGGGGAAAGGTACATAGTTGGCTTACACTCACCACGTCACACAAATACATAAATAAGTCATTACATTCATCCAATACACTCAGGGTCCGACTATGGAACCAAAATAAAGATCAACCCCCAAATGCGACAAAGTCCCCGATCGCCCCAACTGGGCACCACTACTGATCATCTGGGAAATACACGTAGTAGCGACGAGAGTCTTCATTGAACTCCCACTTGAGCTCGGTCATATCATCTGGAGCGGCATCATCGGTCCCTGCATCTAGTTTTGGAAGTAATCTGTGAGTCACGGGGACTCAGCAATCTCACACCCTCGCGATCAAGACTATTTAAGCTTATAGGTAAGGGTAAAGTATGAGGTGGAGCTGCAGCAAGCTACTAGCATATTTGGTGGCTAACATACGCAAAAGAGAGCGGGAAGAGAAGGCAAAAGCACGGTCGGACAACTATGATCAAGAAGTGATCCTAGAACAACCTACGTCAAACATTACTCCAACAACGTGTTCACTTCCCTGACTCCGCCGAGAAGAGACCATCATGGTAACACACGCGGTTGGTGCATTTTAATTAACTAAAGTTTCAGGTTATCTACAATGGGACATTAACAAATTCCCATCTGCCCATAACCACGGGCACGACTTTCGAAAGTTCAAATCCCTGCAGGGGAGTCCCAACTTAGCCCATCACAAGCTCTCACGGTCAACGAAGGATATTCCTTCTCCCAAGACAATCCGATCAGACTCGGCATCCCGGTTACAAGACATCCTCGACAATGATAAAACAAGTCCAGCAACACCGCCCGAATGTGCCGACAAATCCCGATAGGAGCTGCACATATCTCGTTCTCTGGGCACACTCAGATGAGACATCCTATGAGTAAAACCAGCCCTCAAGTTTCCCCGAGGTGGCCCCGCAGTCTACTCGGTCGGACCAACACTCAGAGGAGCACTGGCCTAGGGGGGTTTAAATAAAGATGACCCTTGGGCTCTGGAAACCCAAGGGAAAAAGAGGCTAGGTAGCAAATGGTAAAACCAAGGTTGGTCATTGCTGGAGGAGTTTTATTCAAGGTGAATTGTCAAGGGGTTCCCATTATAACCCAACCGTGTAAGGAACGCAAAATCCGGGAACATAACACCGATATGACGGAAACTAGGGCGACAAGAGTGGACTAAAACACCAGGCATAAGGCCGGGCCTTCCACCCTTTGCCAAATATATAGGTGCATTAAGATAAACAAGATAATATTATGATATCCCAACAATAAACGATGTTCCAACAAGGAACGATCTCCAATCTTCACCTGCAACTAGCAATGCTATAAGAGGGGCTGAGCAAAGTGGTAACATAGCCAAACAACGGTTTGCTAGGACATGGTGGGTTAGAGGTTTGACATGGCAATTGGGGAGGCATGATAAGCAATTGGTAGGTATCGTAGCATAGGCATAGCAAAAGAACGAGCATCTAGCAAGCAAAGATAGAAGTGATTTCGAGGGTATGGTCATCTTGCCTGCAAAGTTCTCATAGTTGCCTTGATCCTCGTAAGCAAACTCAACGGGCTCCTTGTTCACGAACTCGTCTCCCAGCTCTACCCAAACAAGAACAACAAGAAAAAAGGAACACAATCAACCACGTGCAATTCTCAAGAAACATGATGCAAACATGGTATGATATGCGGGATGCGATACGTGATGCATATGCATGATTTGCAAAGGAATTATTGAACCTGGCCTCAACTTGGAAATCAAAGAGTGCCACTGGAAAGGTGAGATGATTTCGGTTGAAATCGATATAAAGATCACCGGAATCGGATGCACGGTTTGGAAATGGCAAGCAATAGCAAGCTCAAACAAGCATGGCAAAAGTGCAAAAGATAACAGGTTTCAGACTTTGTGAAATTAACAGCATGTCAGGAATTTATCACCAGGAAGCAATCTTTAGAGCAATGAAACAACATGCTACAGGAACATATCATGGCAAAAAAAGGCATGGCATGAAGCTACTCTAAGCATATAACAAAAGTCCATTTGTGACCATAAGCCAAAAGGGATCAGAAAATACAATTGCAAGCATGTGAACATAGCAAAAACCATAAACAGATTCAGACTTTGTGAAAAACTGGAGCATGCAAAACAGATTAACAAGTAGGCATGTTTACGAGCTCGATGCACTCACTACAAAGCATGGCATGACAAACTAAGCATACACCCATCAAGAAGACATGGCATAGAAGCTAGACAGGGCAAGAACAACATCATAGCATGCACGGATCAATAGCAACAACCTCGGCAAAATCGCTAAACATGTTAACAATCTACCAGGAATATTTTATAGCAAAAGTAGAGCTCGATTGACTCAAGCTAGGGTGCTCCATTATTGCAAACAAGGAAATGGATGGATATAGCACAACAATATCAACAAACATCCTTACTGATCATCCTGAAAAGAGGCACAGATCACTAGGAACCAACATGAACATATGGCATAAAAATAAAATCAGGACAAGGGCTTAGTGAAGTCCCTGAAATCAGCATCATTGAGTAAGCTACTTTGCATGCTTGTGCTAGTCACCATGAAGATCAAAAAAATACATGGCATACACCACTATAAAGATGGCATGGCATTCTACAAAACTCATGTAGAGCTCAGGATCATAGCATGCACACATTAATCATCGCAAAAATGATAAAAGGTCATGTGCTGAAATAGATCTGACATAATCATCACATAGCCCTCTTACAGCAGCATTCCAGGCAACAATATGAGCTCAAATGAAAATGATGCAATGAGATGAAATGATGTACACGTCGAGGCGAACATTTTGATATGCTACACGCACGAATCGGAGCTATGGATGCAGAGTTATGGCATGTCAAAGTATGCACAAAGTTAGGGTTTCGGGAGGAAAAAGTCAACCGAGGGGATTTTGGATCTGAGATCCAGATGGCACTGTAGCGGTACTGTAGCTTCCCAAGGTTCGCCGGAGTTGTCCCTGTTCACCGGAGTAGGAGAGACGACTGGACATGGGGGTCGCCGGAGAGGAGGTTGAGGCGGCCGGAGTAGGTGGACGTCGGAGAGGCTCGCCGGCAGGTGTGGTGGCGCGGCCGCGGCGTCGGTGCGGGCGGCAAAGTCCGCCGGAGCTGGCGGCCGGCAATGGCGTGCGGTGGCCGGTGCGGTGGCCTGCGGCGGAGGAGAGAAGCGCGGGGCGGCGCGGCTCTCCCAGGCGGCGGGGAAAGCGGATGGCCCGCGGGGGCCTCCCACGGGCCGAGCGGGCCGGGCGGCGGCGCGGCGCAGTGGGGCTCCCTCCCATGACGCGTGTCGATCGCTGGTAGGTCCGGCGGAGCGGGCGGACGTGTCCGTGTCCGGCCCAAATCGGACACGTCCGGCGGCGAGGGGACCGGGTTTTCTAGGGTTAGGGGTGTTTTGATCCGGAAATTTTGAATGAGGGGTCTATTTATAGGGGTAGAGGGAGCTAGGAAGCTCCAAATGAGGTGCGGTTTGCAGGCACGCGATCGTGATCGAACTATCTAGATGATGGGAGAGGTTTAGGTGGGTTTTGGGCCACTTTGGAAAGGTGTTGGGCTGCAACACACACGAGGCCTTTTCGGTCCCTCGGTTAACCGTTGGAGTATCAAACGAAGTCCAAATGGCACGAAACTTGACAGGCGGTCTACCGGTGGTAAACCAAGGCCGTATGACAAGTCTCGGTCCAAATCGAAAACGTTTAACACCTACACATGAAAAGAGGTAGAAAGGACCACCGGAGGACATAGGAGCGCCGGAATGCAAAACGGATAACGGGGAAAATACTCGGATGCATGAGACGAACACGTATGCAAATGCAATGCGCATGATGACATGATATGAGATGCATTACAAAGACAAAACACACGGAGACAAAAAACCCAACAACGAGGAAATATAATAACTTAGTGCCGGAAACGGCAAGAGTTAGGATACATATAAGGTAAATTACATCCGGGGTGTTTCAACACTCCACCACTACGAAAGGATCTCGTCCCGAGATCTAGGACTGGAAAAACTCCGGGTACTCAGAACGAAGGTGATTCTCACGTTCCCAGGTGGCTTCATGGTCGGAATGATGTGACCGCTTGACTTTGAGGAATTTGATTGACTTGTTGTGAGTCTTGCGCTCAGTTTCTTCAAGAATAGCAATCGGGTGCTCACGATAGGACAGGTCTTATTGGAGATCAATGTCTTCGAAGTTGATGGTGCGGTCAGGGGTCTTGAAGCACTTGCGGAGTTGAGACACGTGGAACACGTCGTGCACGTTTGCAAAGTTGGAGGGAAGCTCAAGTTGATAGGCGAGATCGCCTCTGTTGCTGACGATCTTGAAAGGACCCACATATCTAGGGGCAAGCTTCCCTTTGATACCGAAGCGACGAGTACCTTTCATTGGAGAGACGCAGAGGTGGACATGGTCTCCGATCTCGAAAGCCAAGTCACGATGCTCACTATCATAGTAACTCTTCTGGTGCGATTGCGCGGCTTTGAGATTATCACGAATGATTTTGCACATCTCTTCTGCCTTTGTGATCAAGTCATTGCCAAGAAGTTGACGTTCACCAGTCTCTGACCAGTTAAGAGGAGTACGACACTTCCTGCCATAGAGGATTTCAAATGGGGCCTTGCCCGAACTCGCTTGGAAGCTGTTGTTGTAGGAGAACTCAGCATATGGAAGACAATCTTCCCACTTCATATCAAAAGAGATGATGCAAGCTCTGAGCATATCTTCAAGAATCTGATTGACACACTCGACTTGGCCACTAGTTTGAGGATGAAACGATG